GTACTTTGGCAACTTTCCTGAATGGTTTGCTGGTTTCAATTTGTCAAACTCAATAAAAGTAAAGGATTTACATCTTTGTTTGATAGAAATTCTGTTAAAATGTCCAATTTTGGCATTATACGGCTAAAATAAGCATTTTAAAGCAGTTTCCATTTTATGCCTAAGAGCCATGCTGACTTTCTATCTGACAGCTTTTTATGTTCCTGATATTTGTGTTTCTATGCTTAAATCAAATTTAATTAACCATTTGTGAACTCGGAATCTAGAGAAAAGTAGATTATCACAGAAAAAATGTGCAGAATATTTGTATTTATGTCCCTGGTTAAACGGCCTGTTTGATGTATGTGAAATGTGAAGAGCTTTGTACATAAAATCTGTAGTCCATCACAAATATTTCACTAAATCTGTAAAAAAAGCACTTTACAATGATCAGTTCACCCTATTCATTTCATATGCTACCATAATTTTCTTCTTTAGGATAGTAAGTGGTTCAAATATATGCCAAATGAGACTAAAACTACATGCAAGTTTTCCATTGAAAAGTGAAAAACTGGTCATCAGACCATACTGTCTGCCAAAAAAATTTAAATTCAAGAGTCCTTTTGCAATTAGACTTCTTGTATCATGACATCTTAGCATAGAAATGAGCAAAAAGTAACAAATTTCAATTTCTTATAGCCTCTGTGTGCATTTTTATATGTAAATATGGGCTACGGCCTAAATCGACTCTAAATAATTCTCAGTCTTACATGGCCTTAGACCATTTTAAACTCATATGGTATGCTTTTTGTAACTTTTCTTTACATTTAAAGTACATTTAATATATATGGAAGAATAATGTATGGTTAAAAAACTTCAAAAACTTCAAATTGGTTGAAAAAAATGCATGTTTATGTAAGGCTTCCCTTAATTCGAAAATCTTTATTTTCAGGCACAGGCTCATATAAATTTGAATTTTGAATAACTGTAATAAATCTGATAAATCAAATGAGTGTTCCGTTGCTTTTAATACTTATTATATTAAATTCAAGAGTATTTAAAAAGCAAATTTTTGCAGTATTTAAATTTTTTAGGCCAAAATCTTGACAGTTGAAAATATTTGATTTAAACGTCAAAAATAAACATCCAAATTTCAATATTAAAATGGCCCTAGTTTCTATAATATATATCCTATGGCCATGAAACTTGGCCAACTATCTTATAATTGCCTAAGCTTAGGTCATGCAAAGTTTTATTAAAATTGGACAAGTCTTTCTATCCTATTAGGTCCAAGGACACAGTTATCGTCCTTTGGTTTTCGTTGTCTACAAATATAGTCCCTAGTGTGAACAGTGTATAACTTGCATTTTTTTTTTGATACACTTTCCCAATTTATTTCTTGATATTTTATGCATGAAATATTAAGTAAGGGGATGAAATTACATGTTAAAAAAATTTGGGTGCTGAATCTTTATGTTAAGTAGTGATTTGGTCCAGTTAAAAAAGGTCAAAAATTAGAATGTCTGAAGCTGTCAAACTGAATTTTAGCCCCCCTTAACACAGAACTGTCAATATTTTGAGTTAGAGCTGGTAGAAGTTTCTATAATTTTGATATTATTTGTATCAATAGTAGTACACTACACTGTAAAAATCTTTTTGAGATAGAGCAGGTGCGATTTTTTTAATTTGAATTTATTGTCTAAAAGAAATGCACTACGAAATAACTGTGTTCTCGGGCCTTATGATACACGTACTTTGAATTACAAGCGGGGTTATGCTTTAAGCAGGACAATGTGTGCAACTTCTTGTTAAATTTGCATTTAGTCATATACCTTTATCTGGTTTAATGTCTTGAAGAGGGTGAAATGTTTCTTTTTTTTTTTTTATAGACCAAATACATAAATTAAAATCATTTTTGGTGAGATATGCAAAGAGAACAACACAATGTTGTGATTAGTAAGATCATTAAAAATGTGTATGTAATCATTGGTGGAACATTTGTTCATTTGTTGTACCATGGAAGTTTTGACAATTTAATACTTCCATGGTTGTAGTAACTATGAAAACTGATCATGTGTTAAAAGTACCCTCTGACCTTATCTATTCTACACATCTGCTTTTATTTCTTATGCCATTTGTTGATATGATTATAAATAATGAACCTACTCAATTATATATCTATGGGTATATCAAATTACTGAAAATTACAGTTCTTTACATTTCCTCCATTTGCATAGATCATAACCTAACTAAAAGGTTATCGTAAATACCACATTTCAATCGTAAATACCACATCTCAATCATAATATTATTTATGGATCATATAAAGATTCTGACAGAGAGAAAAACAGACCATGCCAATAAAAATAATCAAATAAATTGTTATAATAGCAAATGGTTATTAATATTTAGTAATAAATTCCTGAGATAAAGAATATATCAATGTATTTGTTACCAGAACTGATATCACCCAGGATGCATCAATACAGAGCAGTGTTGGAATGTTATAGATGTATCTGTCTGGAAATGTTTTCTTTTCCTATTTAGGACTATATTGTATTGTATACCCCTGGTAGATTTTGGTTCACTTGCAAATTTGCTTGTTTTTGAACCACTGACGCTCAGAATTTGATTTCACTTGTTTCGCACTTGGCTGAGATCTTCAGAAATTTAATTCTATTTCAAATATTAATTTCTTTTTTTTTCAAACCAGTTAAAATTGCTAGCTTGACTTCATGACTTTCCAGAGATCTAAGGATCTATAAAACTGAATGAAATGAGGGATATTTGATCAACTTTGTCCTTTTCAATGACTAATAAAAAAAATAGATGTGATCGCCATTGAGGGAAAGAGTTTACATATATGGCTTGATGCAGAATCGATTCTGATCAGACGACCTTCATCATTGTGAACTATTACCATTAAATCTGCGCTGATTGATATGTAAACAGTATTTCAGACTATGAGAACTAATTGTTCGTTTGATGTGTTTTATTCATGTAAGCAAGAAATAATTATTGAGGAAATTTGTTAAAATCTTGTAATTGAGTTATACTGAGAATACATGATTGATTTAAGATCAAAGAAAGTTCTAATTATAAAATCTCTATGGCATTGTATCTGCTTTATCAGGAGTTTTATGTTGAAGACTTAAATTAATTGTCTTTTATCATCCGCTTAGTAGTCAGTATTTGGTACTGACATGATTTATAACAAACCTTTCTTAAATTGTTGGTGTATGAATTTATAAATTATCAAGTATCTGAGGTTTCAACTCCCTCAGGGAAAGTTGACCTTAGATGGATTTGGCTATTATTTTAGGTCCTTTTTGATAATATGGCTTTTCAACTGTTTTGGATCTTATACATCCGTGGCCGTCAAATATTTGTCTTTGAGCATTCCTCAGATGAAGGTAAATCCAGAAAAGCACTTCAAACATGAGATTTATAAAGTTTTGTTTTCATCTTTAATACTCACAAGGCCCTTAAGTCGAGAGTGTGCTTTTCTGAGGACTTTTATCTATAAATCGATTGTCAGTCCATTTCCTTTAATTTTTATACGAACATATGATGCAATATCAATGTCCTTCAACACTTTGTACAAATATAACTCAAATTTTCTTAAACCAATTTTCATGTAATTTAAACACAACATTAGGATTGAGGGAAGAAAGCTCCCTTTTAATTTTGAAAATGTTTGGCTTTGTCTGCTAGTGTTACGGGCCTTGAACCATTTGAATTTAGGCAATATTTCACATATGACACACTTTTTTCGCATATCACAGACTTACTCCAGTGTGCCTATATTGATTTCCTTCAAACTTTACAGTATTTGGATTAATAAAAGGAAGCCCCATTTTGAATTTTTTAAAGTTTTCTGTTTTTTCCTCCACAGTTAATGAACTCTATTTGCCAGATTTAAGTAAATTTTACACATATGTTGTAACAATACTTCAGTTTGCTGGATTGATTTATTTTGAACTTTACATAATTGGTCGATAAATAAAAGGCATTTTTGAAATGAATTGCACTGGCTCTATTGTACAAAAAATAAGGAAATGTGGTATGCCAGTTAGACAACTATGCACCAGAATTCAAATGAAGTGGATATAAGCAATTAATCAATACTAGCCTTACTGAAGCCTCTTGTTTAAGTCAAGTTGAGTGAGACTGTTGTTCTTATTGTCTTGTCAAGTTTAGTTTTAAATTACCAAGATTTATTTCCCTTTGATCAGTATAACAGATTTGGCCCTCAGATTAAAAAAGGAAGAACAGCTGATCGGATGGATGCAGGCAAACTGTCAACTTTATTTAGGACAAGAACATGTTAATCTGATGTGGATATAGGATCAACCTGTGGAACTGTAAAAAGAATAAACAAAATCTGAGACAAGGTGTTGAAATTCTGAAACATTCATACACAGGTGCAAAATATAAAGTAGAAGGTTAATACTCTGTCTTATGGTAACTATTTCTCACTTTAAAGCATTTTGTTGAACTAACAAAAAGTTGAAAGGAATAGACACATTTCAATACCAGGTATGATATTATGTTCACATTTTTCCAACTGTAATAAAGGGAAAACATGTGATTGAAAAGAAAGAAAGAAATTGATTGATTTTTGAATTTGAATTTGTAAGATTTTGTTGATAAATAAATAGAGGATTAAATCTTTAAAAAGATTGTACAACTTTGATTCATACATGCAGTTTACATATACAGCGTTTAATTCATGTATTAATAATCATTAACTGACAAATTTGATAACAAATAAAATTTCTTTCCAAATAAAGGTTGGCTGGTGCAAAAATTAATAGTCACTTGAGTTTGTAAAATTTGAAATACATCCAGATTTTAATATACATTTTCATAAAGGATCCAAAAATAAGTGCATGAAGTTGCTACACAAATAATTCAATGGAAAAGGAGACCAAACGTATCGAAGGGGGATAGAAACGGAATATTAAATGGAACATGTTATATTACATCAACTGACAGTACACAGCAGGTTCTCCCATGTTGGATTATGTCATAACAATTAGCTAATTATAGAACATTCTCTAGGTGGAAATTGATACTAATAATCATACATGTTGGCACATTCTCGGCATGCTTTTTATGTCATGTGTGCATTACAGCTAGTACATGTATTACAAGAACATTTGTGTAAACTATAGGAGTAGTTTTTTTTTATTTCGGAACTAATACTACCGTTTACTTTCTGTAGTGAGTATTTTATTTTATTTAATGAATATTGGACCTACATATTGAAATAATTGTATATACTTTGGTATACTTTGATCTTTTAGTAAATATAACAAAAAGGTAAATAGATCAAAATCTAATTAAAATTCAAAATTACGGAAATTGTTTAAGTAGAAATATAAAGATAAGAAGATGTGGAATAAATGTTTATTTATATTTTATTGAATTTTCTCAAAGTTTTCAGTGCATATTTGCTATGAAACATAAATATGAAAAGGTATAGGAAGTTGTATATAAAAAAATGTTTTCCATTCATTATCTAATTAAGAATCATATTCAATGGATTAGGAAGATATTCCATAATATGGTGTTATTGTCATGAAATATAATCTAATAATAAGATAACACAATTACAGTAATAAACTAATTAATTTGAAGCAAGACCAAATGTTTGTTTTGTTTTTCTTCATTGACATTCTGTACAATTTGCTCATGGGATTGCACAAGTTCATGTTTTCTTGTACTGTTTATTTTATTTTTGTATGAAACCTTTTATGAAGAACAGTGACTGATATTAGAGTGTTGGATGGCATGATTTCATATCAGTAGGTTATAAAGGCCTTTGAGCTTGCATTTAGTTACTGCAAGCATTCTTTGATGCAGTATTGTTTATTATTATTTTGTTTGTATCTAAGTTTTTTATATCTATTTTACTGTTATTTTCTTTGTTTCTTTTTTATCTGAAATAATTTTTTGTTGTTCATTCTTTTATGTACCTTCTGTTAGTCCATTAATCAAGATTAAAGGGAAGAAGGACTTGGGTAGATCTAAAACAAAAATGATAGTTTAACCCAGCCAAAAATTCATGTTCCTGTCCTTGGTTAGGTACTTCATGAATCTTGTGTCAAATTTCGATGTGTTTTGTTTTGTTACTTGTCGACTGGTATTGATGGTAGAATTTTGATAGCTTCTGCTTAATTCATTCACATCTTAGACTATTTAAAGCTTGAATTGCTCTAAAGATACATGTTTATTGTTAAAGACAGTATGCTGAACTATAGAATGGTTATTTAGTTATTTGTTGTTTGGTTGCTGTCTCATTGACAAATACCCCCTCATCTTCTGCTATTCATATTAAATAAGATCTTTTCAATGGCAGCCTTGCAAGGCTTACATCCCAATTTGTTTCAAAATCAAATTAAAGGATTGCAGCATTTGCCATAGATAATTTGAATGCTGAAGTAATAATATAATTCAGTGTATATTAACAATAAGTAATGAAAAATGTAAGGATGTTGTAACACAGCTTCTGTTCATGTAAAAAGAAAGATAACTCTTTGTGTTTACTTAGAGTATTCTCATCCAAGTACCTCTAATGAGACAAATGAGGAGCAATGATAAGATATGTGGTAGTCAGAAGGTTTTGAGGATTAAAAAAGTAGTAGTTCTTTTTTACAGCTAGTAGGCTGAAGGCAATAAATATGAAAATATTATTCCTAAAAGCCGATGATTGTAAAGTTGTTTTAAAGGTGTTCAATACTTGAAATCTCGAAATTCCTTAAATGCATGTAGTTATTTATTTTGAATACATTATATGATGCACCTGTTCACTCTATTTTTTCTAGGTCACATTCTATATATGTAAATATGTTAATTGTTGATAAATATTTGTATTGTATGTATTGCAGTTTACTTACATAACAAATGTCATATTTTTCACGTCAATTCTCTTAAAGTATCTCAAAAAAGTAATTTATATACCCATTTTTCCATGAAAAATAATCACTTCAAAAGACATAGGTCATCTTCCATTTGGAACTTTTATTTCATGTAAATGATTAGGGATTCTCTTGTACAAACAATATCGGTGAAAATAAATCAGCTTTTTAAACATGGTTATACTGTAAATTCAGAAATTATTGCGTGCATTTATTATTGCGATTTTGTTATTTTAGACTAAAATGCGATTTAAATTTTTGTGATATTGAGAAAAATCCTGCTTAATTCATATAAAATATTTCAAAATGTGAGTTTAAATTATTGCGATTATAACCCTGTCGCATTTTTCGCAATAATAAAAACATCGCAATAATTTCTGAATTTACTACTAGTAGATATTTCAGTAGAATTGTAGATTATATATCATTCATTGCAACATCTAAGCCTATAGATAATGATGGTAAAGGATACTCTTGCTGTTGATAGTTTACTGTAAAGAAAACAAAATTTAAAAATTGTCAACAGTTGCATCATGGAGCAGGGAATGTAGAAATACTGTGGGTCCATCCTTGCTTGCATTGATCTTGTGAGGACTCTCACGATTACATTTCTTGTCAAGATTTTTATTAAATTTATGTAAAAAGTTTATATGTACAATTTACAGACAGGTTCACAGATCAGTGCCAATCAACTATTTATACAGAAGTTATGTCTTGTGGGAATGTTGATTATATGAAATATTGCATTGTAAGATGCATTCTCATATTTGTCAGATTTTATGAAATTTATACCCAAGATTTATCTAATTAATTTTTGGGACCAGTAGAATAATCAGCACTGACCAAATATTTTCATGGGAGTTATGCCCCTTACAGAAATTATTTGGAAAATTACATAGGAAGCACACTCGTGCTTACATTTATTGTCAATTTTTGGTAAAAAGTTAAAAAAACAACAAACAAATTTTTTTGAGTTATTGCCCTTGAACAAATAAAATATGTACTGCGGCTGGGGTATTGGAACCCTATAAAAATAAGATATTTCAAGTTATTTCAGTTAAATGTACATGACTCAAGTCTGAAAATCTGAAAATTTATTAATGAATCTTTGAAAACATTTTCTTTCCAATTTCTTCATGTGACAGTTGGTTATATTCCAAAAAAAATTAAAACAAACCTTAGTCTTGTACATTCACTTGTTTTGAACAGAGTATGCAAGGAAAAAACAATTCAGGCTTTGATTACATTATTGTTCCTTTTTTTTTTTACAGATGTATGTTTTTACAAAGATGTAGTGACAAAAACAAACAAAAAATGGTAAGTTATACTGGAACATATATAAAAATGTTTATTGTTATGATATTTAATGTATCACGAGCTTTCCAACACTAAAGTTGTGAGTTCGAACTCGGCAGGTGAGTTTGACTCAAATCTTATTGACTAGGAAACTCAGTTTTCCTGCCAATTGCCAAAGGACAGTGGTTCTCTCTGGGCACTCTGGCTTCCCTCATTATTAAAAACTGGCTGCCACAATATAGCCAAAATTGCTGAAAGTCTGCCACAATATAGCCAATAGTGCTGAAAGTCTGCCACAATATAGCCAATAGTGCTGAAAGTCTGCCACAATATAGCCAATAGTGCTGAAAGTCTGCCACAATATAGCCAATAGTGCTGAAAGTCTGCCACAATATAGCCAATAGTGCTGAAAGTAACTATAGACACCAAAACTCAAATCAATTCATCATTATTCTTAATGAACTATGATTAAATAAATGGGATGCCCGTCTTGAATTAGTTCTCAAAATGAGGTGGCATATTTTTCATTGGTAAAGACTTTTAACATTTTTGTCTAAGTTAAACAATGATAGTATGAAAAGGGGGAGGATTGAGAAAAAAAACCAAACAACTTTTAACCTTTGTCACATGTTCATGTGACTGTCACAAAAATCGGGGACATCTTCAGTAGTTGTCATATCTTTATGAGTTTTTGTCATTTGGTGGAAATTTGGTTTGATTGGCAGATCATTGATAGGCTCATTCAATACTTTCTAAACTATGGACCTTTTAGAACTCGACATAATGTATGGACAACTTTGATTGATTGATTATTTGATGTTTAACGCCACTTTCAGCACGATTGTGCTATTTTGTGGCAGTCAGTTTTATTGATGGAGGTAGCTGGAGTGCCGAGAGAGAACCACCGACTGTTGGTAGGATGTATGGACAACTGTCTACTTTTGAAGACCATATCCTCTAGATGTCTTAGTTTTTTTTTGTGTAGTTGGGTTGCTGTCTCCTTGATGTATTCCCAACATTTATTTTTATTTAAATTCAATATAATTTCTTTTGAATTGATTGTGTCATAGGAAACAGAAAGATTTAAGTTTTGATTACTTTATCAAAATGACTAAAGTTGACTTTCTAAGAATTGTTAGAAATAATAAAGATGTTGAGCCAATTACTGACCTGCCAATGCTGATATTAAATAACTTACCATTGAGTTATCTCCCATTTTACACAAAAAACACTTCATTTGAATTATAAAGAATTAAATTTGAATCTTGAATTTAAATTGCCAAACAATGACTTTGAATTAGTTTTGGCCATGTAAAAAATCCAGCTTTTAGTATGGTGAATGTTAAATGAAATCACAAGGAAAATATGATACTTGTTTAGTGTCATTATTTTCTCCTTTATTTTCAATAAAGGCAACAGTAGTATACTGCTGTTCGAAACTCCTAAATCGATAGAGATAAAAACAAATCCGGGTTACTAACTAAAACTGAGGGAAACGCATCAAATATAAGAGGAGAACAACGACACAACAAAAACACAACATTAAAAATGTAACACACACAGAAACGAACTATAATATAACAATGGCCATTTTCCTGACTTGGTACAGGACATTTTAAGAAAAAAATGGTGGGTTGAACCTGGTTTTGTGGCATGCCAAACTTCAACACAGTGCCTTCAAACTTTTTAGAATGTTTGTACCTTGAAGATGTGCACCTCACATTGTGTACACATTAGAATAAATTCCATAAACAACATAATCAATTGAGAGTTTCCATATTTTTATAATCGACTTCTACAGTTTTAACTTTCTAGAATTTTTATCTTGCATTGATGATATGCATCTCACTTTGTTTACACATTTAAATAATTTTTTGAAGATTCTCTAAATGAGTATTTAACTCAATGATGATTTACAAGACAATATATACTTACAACTTTCATTTGAGTAACATTTACTTAATTTTTTACTTCCCTCTTAAAGCTGATAGTATGGTTGTTTTGAAATTAATAAAGAAAAGATCTGATCAAAAATAAAGGAAAAAATAAACATTTGGTTCCACATTACCTATTTGGTTCAAAAACTTGAGAGGTGTCCTGAAAACAAGTGTTTGTCTGCAGTTTTTATGAAGGGCCTGTAAAATTGATGAAAATTATGATTGATTTGGCCAGGATATTTATAAATTGTTGCTTTAGGCCTCACTGCTGGATCTTGCTTGAAACAAATCTCCAGCCTATAGAGACATAGACAGAGGTTTGGGTTTTTTTTTTATTCCAATCAAGGGCCCTTGATGGGCAGCATGACATGTACACACAAAACAATACATTGTGATTTGTAACAGAAAAACATTTTTTTTACATTGAAATGAAATATTAAAAGTTCAGATAGATGTTATCATGATAGAGCTACATATATTTCTTCATTTTATATAAGTCATATACATTTAATTCCAGGCAGGACCAGAACCATAAAATCATTACAATTATCATTGTTATTACATATATTAATTTACATTTGGTCTAACATCTAGACATTTAATAATATAGGTCCCTAAATATTTAAGGACAGACAAATTTTCATTAGTAAATAACCAAACAAATTTTGCCTCATTTGAGAGATATGAAAAATTAGGACAAATACTGTTTTATCTCCTTGAAAAATTTCTCCCTATCATCTTTGTATGCTGGACAACTAGTAATAAAATGAATAAGTCATATGAACTTCATAATCAGTCTAAAAAGTATCTAATACATAAATTGTAATATCTTTAAAAAAAACACATCTAATACCTTCAGTTATTAATACTTATCAAACTTTCTCACAGTTCTAAAATTGGCACCTATCTGTTATATTGATAGGTGTGTATGATTCTTTCCCTCAACTTTCACCTTTCTTCTGTTTAAGATAAGTAATGAATTAATCATACTTTCATCAAATCATCAAATTTCTGATTAAACCCATGCCTCAGTTCACCTTCTATAGTTCCTCATCAAAGGGAACATGGTGATTTGTGCATTGTGCAAAATGATAAATCAATTTACTCTCAATAAATGCATTCCCAATCTCTTCTACATAGGACACATTCCAATAGAAACAGAAATTTATTGTGCCTGGAGATATTCGTCTGCTGCAGTTAACTACCTTAGCAACAAACGTCTGCCAAATTACTGTTTACAATTGCCTTGAAAGATTGCCTCATGAAATCCATAATTATTACTTCATCATCTTTACCTAGATACCAATTTCTTTGCATTTTGGAAAAAATGCATATCTAAGTAGCAGAGTTGTATCACTTATAAGTACTTTTTGTCTGCTTGGTGCTTACATTCCTTAAATTCCCTTTAAATATTTTTATTTTTCTATTTTTGGGACTTTTTTCTTTTTACTGCTTATTTTTACATGATTGTCAATTAGACAGCTATCCAGCTAAGACCAAATGACAAGGATGTGAGCAATAAAGGTCACTATGTGACCTTCAAGAATGAGCAAAACCCATACCATATTAAAAAAAAACTAGGATAACAAATTCTGAAACAATGCAAAAAAGAAAACCAACTGCCTGATTTATGCTAAAACATTTAAAGAAAAACAATTATGGAAGCCAGTAACCACTGGATTACAGGCTCCTGACTTTTAACATCCATATAAAAATGTGACAGGGTTAAACATTTTTGAAAGGACTCAAACATCTCCATTTATACCTGGGACAGTGGCGCACAAGTACATGTACAAAAATAGAACAAACTATAAAAGCAAAAGATTCATAAGATTGGTACCATGCACAAAACACAACTAACAAAATAATAAAAAAAATGGGGGGGGGGGGGGGGGGGGGGGGGGGGGGGGGGGTGCGCAAACTTCAATTTTCTTGAGGTAAAATTATCGAAATATTCTTTATTAAGCTGAGGACACCCCCCTCCCCCCCAAACCACATCTTCTTATTTTTATCTTGATTTTAACTTGAACTTACATAAACATGACTTTAGACATTCTTGCAAAGGAATAACTCAGAACATATATGTAGGACTCAAATCTATGGTGGGTTCCAGATCTATGGCAGATCCCTAATCTATGGCAAATATGACGTCATGCCATCCCAAATCTATGGCAGATTTGTTACAATCCTAATCTATGGCAAGTTTTGTAATTTCCTAATCTATGGCGGATTTTTGTTGTTTCCAAATCTATGGCAAATTTTGTGCATATGGAAAACAAGGCAGTACACATACGACCGATGCCTTTACTTAAACAAGTGAAAATGTATGAAAAGGAAGCATGTTTATAAACATTTTTGAAACAAACATTCCATACCATTATACAGACTTCAGGATTAAAATGATGCGCCCCGGAAAAATAAGCATTTCTTATCTGTGCATGGTACCTGTTTAGTCTATTTATTAAACCATCTAATAAAAATAGTAGTCCCATGACAAACAAGAAAGCAGTTTTTTATGAAAAGAATTTTAAAAAACAGTTTAATTTTTCATATAATATTTATTTGAGCGTTAATCAATTTTTTTTTAACCAATGACCATTTAAGTCAAAGTGGTATCCTGTAATTTCATCTCTCACTTCATATACTTTGCCAGGCGTAGATGCTAAAATATTAATTATAATTTCTTTCCTTAAATATCCACTACTAAAAACAGCCGTGCCTTTATTCATCGCGGGATTCGGACAGTACAGCACATCTTCCTTTAAACCTCGGCAAATTGTTTTTAGAGGGAGAGTGTTTCCCTGTGTTTTTGTTTGTGAAAATTTGAAATCTGTGAGCCCCGTGTTAAATATTTGTTTTTGGTTTACATCATACAATTAAAAGAAAAAATTATAAATGGTGTTCAAATCTATGCCGGTTCTGCTAACGTTAGCGCCGGCGACGACGATGTAATTATGGCGTTATTTAATTGTGACGCTATATGTAACTCTTTTTCCCGGAAAATTATGCAATTTCAAGATCTGCCATAGATTTGGAGAAAACAAAAAACTGCCATAGATTTGATTTGTAACGTCATATTTGCTA